AGACTCCCGTGACGTCCGGTTTGACGAGTCAGTGTCCCATTACGCTCGCTACCCCTGTTGAGGTCTCCCGGTTCCCCCTCCTCCCCTTTTCCTTGCGCCCTCTCCTCCTCCTGCTTCCGCTCCTCCGGTGCCCCCGCCCCCCCCTGGTCCTGCCCCATCAGGTGTGTCTCACTGTCCCCTCACCAGCCTTCGGCACTTCTGCGATAGGTTTCTGTGGACTCTGGGGGTGCTGGAGCTGGAGATGTTGGTACATGTGGTACTAGTGCTGGGGGTGCTGGAGCTAGAGGTGCTAGTGCTGGGGGTACTGGTGCTGGAGGTGCTGGAGCTGGAGGGGAGGGCACTGGAGGTGCTAGTTTTGGGGGTGCGAAAGCTGGAGGCACTAACACTGGTGGGGCTACCTCTGAAGACACTAGCACTAGGGGTGCTAGTTATGAGGAGACTGGAGTTGGAGGCACTACTTCTGCGGTGCCCACTCAGCCTCCCCACCACCACGACACGCGTCTCCAGGCGGCCCGCCGACGTGCGCGTGAGGAGCGGGAGCAGCTGGAGAGGGAGAGGCAGGAGCTGCGGCAATTGGACCTGCTGGAGCAGCAGGAGCAGCAGCAGCAGCAGCAGCAGCAGCAGGAGGAGGAGCAGCAGCACTAGCAGCAGCAGCAGCAGCAGTAGCTGCAGCAGCTCCCTCTGGAGCGGCAGTTGTTCCCGCCCGTGAGTGGCCTACGGGCCCTTGTCTTCCATCCTCCTCTCCTGTCCGCTCTCCGTCTCCCCTGGCCTTTGGCCCTACGTTTCCTCCTCCTGACGACTCTCTTGCTGTCTGGTCTTCTATTCGGTCCCTGTCTTCTCCTCCTGTTGTCCCACACTACCGTGTCCATCCCTGTCTTCCGCATGCTCGTCCTCGTCCCCCGTTACCGACCTCTGCACTGCGTTCTTTTGTTCTTCTCGTCGTCGTTCACCACCAGTGTGTGTTTTCCCGTCCCCTCCTCCATCCTCTCTTCCTGTCTCCCCTACCCCCCTCTTTCTGAACACTACCGTGCTGCTCGCCTTGTTGTCTCCCTTGTTCTCGCCACTCTTGCCACCGACTCTCGTTTCTCTCCGTCGTTTGTCTCTGCTCTCACTACTGCTGTCGTTGAGTTTGCTGCCACCAGCCGCCTTGACTACGCCACACGTGTGGTGCCAGCTCCACCTTTTCATCCTCTGTCCGTCGGGGGTGAGTTTTCCCTTGGCTGTGACGTCCTAGAGGACAGGTAGTCTGAGCTGGAGTACTTGGCAGCCGCTTCTCCCTCTCTCTGTGCCATGTTTCTATCCTCTGAGGGAGACCCCGACGCCCTTAACATACCGACCCTTTGCACGTACCGTGAGGACAGTGTCAGGGGAGTGGGCCTTAGTGGAAAGCGGCTATGGACTCAGAGTTTGCGTCTTAGAGATCCACACACACCTACGTCGACGCAGTTCCCCCTTCCAGGGTGAACGTTGTCGATGGCATGTGGCTCTTCAAGGTGAAACGGCCGCCTGGATCACCGCCTGTGTTCAAAGCACGCTACGTGGCTAGGGGTTTCAGTCAGCGTGAGGGAGTTGACTTCTTCCAGACCTTCGCCTCGACCCTGAAGATGATTACTCTTCGGGTTTTATTGCAGTAGTAGCACAACAAGATTGCGAGCTGCATTTCATCGACTTCTCCACTGCGTTTCTCCAGGGTCGCCTGCACGAGGAGATCTGGCTGTGGCATCCTTTTGGCTTCACTGACACCTTCCCGCATGGGACCCAGTGGAGCCTGAAGCGACCTGTCTACGGTCTCCGCCAGTCACCCCGTGAGTGGCACAACACTCTTCGCTCCACGATTCGTGACCTTGGGTTTTGTCCTTCTTCTGCCGACCTATCTACGTTGACAACTTGGTCTTTGCTACAGCAGACAGGGCAACTTTGGCCCTGATCTCGGTGAACTGCAGCGCTACCTTGGCCTGCAGATCACCAGGGACAGAGTCGCTCGCACCATCACACTGACGCTGTCATACATGGTGCAGCAGATGCTTCGATGGTTCGACGGTTCTCCACCGCCCAGCCCACTCCTCTTGCTGTTGACCACAGACTCACTGGCCCCTTTCCCGACGAGCCATTTGAGTCTAGTGGTCCCTACGCAGTGCTTGTGGGCTGCCTCATGTACCTCATCACTTGTACTCGACCGGACCTCGCCTTTCCCCTCAGCGTCCTCTCTCGCTTTGTTACGACAAGGAGACACCGTCCTGTTCACTGAACAGCTGCTGTGAGGGTGGCGAAGTACCTGGCGACTACATCAGGCATGGGGCTTGTGCTTGGAGGGACTTGGCCAGTTGAGTTGATTGGTCATTGCGACTCTTCCTACGCTGACGACGTTGAGACTCTTCCGGCTCAGGGTTACAGCTTTAGCCTGGGTGATGGTGCTGTGTCATGGAGGTCTACACGGTCGTCGTCTGTGGCTTCGTCCAGTGCAGAGGCAGAGATCTACTCTTGTGCCATGGCGGCACAGGAGCTTCATTGGTTGACCTTCTTGCTCGCCGACCTTGGTGAGCGGCCTCGCTCTGCACCGACCTTGTACGCGGACAACAAGGCCATGATCCTCCTGTGTCAAGAGCCTCGATTGAAAAGCAGAGTGACGCACATTGACGTGAGGTACTTCCTCCCGCGAGAGTTGCAGTGACGCGACTAGGCACGCTTGGACTTTGTGGCCTCGGAGGCCAACATTGCCGACGTCTTCACCAAGTCCTTGGCACCTGTTGACCACCACATGTTCTGCGTGCAGTTAGAGCTTGTTGAGGTAGGCCCTCGGTTGCTGTAATTTTGCTGTTTGCTCTGATTGTTGTGCTTTGCTATATATCCTAGTAAACTATTGAATTGGCCTTGTGGCCGCTTGTTTGTGCTCGAATTGTGTGGTGACTTTGAGCGCCACCATGAGCCTTGTTTTGTTGCTTGCTCTTGACTGGTCTTGTGACTGTTGTTTCACTTGCTCGTTGTTGGGTGCCCCTCATTTAGCCTATGTGGTTGTCTCAAATGTTATTATTGTGAAAGTGAGGTACTCCCTAGAGAGTACAACTTTGTTAGTCTTCCTACCAGGGCCCAAAATTGGTTTTTGGGCAATCTTAGGAATCAGGGTGCCTTGCTGACGTCACCCTGTCTCTCAGGATGATTTTTTTTCCACCCTGTCAAAATCAGGGGAAGATAAATGCGCTGGAAAAACACCCTGATTGTGTAAGGGTAGTATTATGTTTTCCTTTTTTTCTCGTTATGTAGTTAACTCAAATCTTCAATCTGCTTGCTGCGAGACTCTGCTTTCTACAACACCGGCATTACTAATGTCGGAGCGGGGCTGGAGCGAAATCGGGGGAGTGGGGCGGGTGATGGCGGGATTGGGGGGGGGGGAGGGGCTTGGGAGAGGAGAAGGAAATGGGCGAAATGGGATTGGGAGTTGCGAGGGAACTGGGGCGAGAGGGGCTGGAAGAGGTGAAGGGAATGGGGGGAATGAGGTTTGGTGAGCCGAAGGGAAGAGGGGATGTGTGAGGTTGGATTGGAAGAGGCGAGTGGAACGCGGGTGATGGGGCTGGGAGAAGGGAACGGATTGGCGGGACTGGGGCTCGAGGGAGCGGCTGGTATGGAAGTGGCGAAGGAAATGAGGGCGTAGGGCTGAGAGGAGGCGCGAAAAAAAAAAAAGCAGAATCGAACGGCCCGTCGTTTTCTGGTTCAGTGCATTTTTTTCTGCACCCTGTCTGGCAAGGATAAAAATCAGGGCACCCTGGCAAAATCAGGCTAACCTGTACGTCTACACTTTTACAAGAAGGGGAACAAAGAAAATAGGCTTACAAAATCAGGGTAAACCCCGAAAAGCGGCCGCTGGTAAGTGTAATCAGTGTGTTTTACCCTTGAAAAATAGGCCCTGCTTCCTACTTGTATAGTCTCCCAACCCTAATACTGCCATTTCGTTGTGCGTACTTCTTGAGAGGGTGTTCCCAAACATACTAGTACCGAGTGGTATGCCTTCATTTGAAGTTTTGCGCCATAATTCTTGGCCGAAGTACCAGAATCGCAGCATTTTTCACATGCATCACTACCATCTCTCACAACATGGCTCAAACTAGGATAGGCTTGAGTGGGAGGCCCCAGGATGTCTTAGAGAAAAAACTTTGATACCATATATTGTTTACGCAAGTGGTCTTCTTAGTACAAGGGTTATCCCCAAAAAAGAAACTTATTTAATATCAGGCTGGGTTATGGTTATTGTAAGACCCTCCCACTTCATATATATATATATTTTATATAAATTAATATAGACCATAGGGTCTTTTATCTGGGGAGTTGCAGTATAACCGAGGACGGGAAATATGCACAGTGCTCTGGTTATAAGCTCATGCGCCTCTCATAGGCCTGCACTGTTTGCAACTTTAAGGAACACATGTACTCATCAATGCTTGATATGTATAGTATCGCATATCCCCACCCTAGGACTAGGGCTGTGCCAACGTATGTACATACTTGTTAATACTGTTTGGATGGACAGTACCAGAAATTAGTAGGACAAAAACCTGGAGTATAGTCGACCATTTGTGGACCTGAGGGCATGCAAGGCGTGGGTCCAAGTTGAGTTGAGTGCAGCAGCAAGATAATCAGACTCTGCTGAAATGAGGAGGTTGGAAAAACTGGCAGCTACTGGGTTGTCCTCTTGCAGGTTGGTCCCATAGGGATGAAGGAAAGTCCAGGAGGATTGCGGATGTGGGTGCGTGAGTGTGCTCAGTTGCTCACTCATATCCTGCATGGTGCACAATAGATACCGTAGCAGCGTACCGTAGTTGCTCACTCTTGCAGTTGTAATCATGCTTGCACATGAGTGGAGGGAGATGCGAGGATTGAGACGCCAGAATGTACGGTACGTGACGGGGTTGTAAGGAGAATAGAAACAGAGAAACACGAACTCCCCCACCCATCCCCCCACCTGGAAACGCCCGCATGCACCAGCATATGGGCGAAGACCGCACTTATTAGGTGCTCTGCAGTGAGGCAGGCGAGTTTACGCCAAACATCTCTTCCCTCCCCCAAGTGCACCCGCCCTTACGAGGTGGTGTGCGGGGAGGCGCACGTACGAAGTGGTGTGTGGAGAGGCGGGCGTACCGGGTGGTCGGAGGAGAGCCAGGCGAAAGTGAGCGTGGGGTCGAGGCGGCGCAGGCGGTAGGCCAGCGAGAGCAGTGGCAGCAGCGCATCCGCCCCGCCGCCCACCTGCTGCTCACCACCGGCCGCGGCATGCCCACCTCCCTGCCCACCCTCTCATACGTCACCAACGCCTGCGGCTTCTCCTCGCCAACATCCTCCTCCTCAGCTGCTCCAATCGTCCACGGTCCAAGTTTCCAATCACCAACAGTCCAAGGTCCAATAGTCCATCCATCTCCGCCTGATCTTCCCACCCTCTCCGCTCTCCCCTCACGTCCTCCTCGCTCCTCACCCGCACTCCCACCCTCTGAAGCATATCCACACCCCGCGAATCCCAGCCCAGGCCACACTTCTGTTTCCAGGTTCGGGTGTTTGGTGTAGTCAAATGCGGACAGAAGAGCAGGTTCTTCCTGCAAGTGCACCCCGGGGTTTGGGTCGGGCGGGTCGGAGCGGAGAGCCGCCACTATCTCGCGCTGCTCTGTCATGTACTCTGCTGAATGCTGCGCGGTTTGCAGCCCGTACGCGGAGTGGCGCATGCGGTTGGTGGCGTGGCACAGCAGCGCGGAGGGCCAGCGCAGCAGGAAGCGCAGTGCCTGTGCCTGCCACCAGTAGGCCTGGGGGACGGAAAGGGAGGAGGGGAGATGTGGGGGGGAGGATTGGGGTTGCACGGGTGGGGGAGAAGGGAAGAAGGAATGATAAGGGCTGAGAAAGGCGCCTGACACCAGTAGGCCTGGGGGACCATGTAAGGGGAGGTGTGGGGTGCATGGGTGGGAGGGTGGAGGAACGGAAAGTAGGGTAGGAGAGGGCATCAGGGACATATGTTGGGGAGAGATGTGTCGGGGAGGTGATGAGGGAGTGAGTGGAGACAAGGAACAAAGATGAACAACAGCTTGCACAAGTGACAAGTTCCGCTGCCAGAGCCTCTTGGTGCTCCCAGTGTGACCTGTGAATGAATTGACATAGAATGGCATGGCATGGCATAACATGGCATGGCATGGCATAACATGGCATGGCATAACGTGGCATGGAACGGCACAACACAGAATGACATGGCGTGGCATGGGTCACCTGCATGTGTTCCTGTGTGGCGTTGACCATGACGCCCCTCTCCTCCACCAGGTAAGGCCGCTGCTTGTATGCATCGCCCCACGTCCTGCTGGGAGGCAGCGCAGCATGAGGGCATGAAAGAAGGCTGACCACGGGCCACGTCACAAGTGAGAGATCATGCGTTGAAGATCATTAGCCATGTGAACTAGGCGAGTTGAATCCTAGAGGAAACATTTAGACGAAGGAAAACGGCACCATACCCTGGTTAAAACCAAAAACTAAGTAAACCGAAATCTCAGATCCACTGGTAGTTCAAAACCAGTAACAAGGTTCGGTAGACTGGCACATGCCCGGAATCACATTGTCATCGGCGCAAGTGGAAATTCCATAAAGAGCGCAATGAAAGTCCTCTTGAACAAACAAACTGTTCTAAGCAACAATGATCAAGGTTGGAACAACCGGGGCTGGCGGTCTGGCTGGAAGGTGTGGTCGGCCGCTTCTAACCGATCTAGGAAAGCCCAGGCAGTCCAAGCCTTTGTTGCACTGTTGACCACTATTACAACCTAGAAGCTCAAAGCAAACCTCTCAATTCACTTAAGATAATCCTCACCGCACCTCTAAGGGTCTTCAAGTGCCTGGTAGAACCAGCCCCTATCCAAGGGTCTGTATTTGTAAAGGGATTTTTCAAGTGTGTTCTCCTCACTTACAAGCCGACCCGACATCCCCAGGTCAGAGGATCCGCACATTCGAATTGGCCTGGTTAAAAAGCAGGGTCTAGTCAAGCCGTCCCAACTCGGGCGGCCCGCATGCTCATGCCTAACAAAGAGGAATGCGCACCCTCTTTTACATGGCGCCTCCAAAACGAATGCGAAGTAGCCAAGGTGGGCGAGGGACACATCTTTCCACATGGTGATTAACAATGTGCATGAAATTAGAAGCTTGCAGAGAGCCATGTATTGCCTTGTCCAATTCACGGGTGCGTGTATGGGCGTACCTAGCAGCATCGGAGTGTGAGCGAGAGGAGGGATCGAGGGTGGCAAGGGCACAGACGAGGGAGTCGTTGGAGGCAACAGCATCGGCGAGGTGGGAGAGCGGGTGGCAAGGGGGCGAGCCGGCAGTGAGGTACTGCTGCATGGCTGCTGCCTCACAGGCAGGCGACACCGAGCGGAAGAAGTAGCAGTGTAACGACCCCGACTCATTCACCACTGTGGAAGGGGAGAGCGCATGAATGGACAAGTTCACACAGAGATGGAGTTGGGGGAGAGGGAGGAATTAAGGATGCAAGAGTGTGCATTTGTGTGGTTAGGAGGAGAGGATGGGAACGTATTGGGAGTGTAGAAACAAGTTGTTTCACGTGGAGGAGAAGAGGAGAGTATGGGAGTGGCATAAGGGTAAGGAGCACATGGGGGTTAGTAAGGCTACTCTGTGTTGCAACCTAAGTGGGAATTGAAACTCCTCCAAGATGCTAGTGTCAACTGTTTATATACAGATCAGTTCACTCAAATTGGGGCTTGATACTTCCCATCTATTGTTTTCCAAGAGTAACCACCCTTCTTCTTTCTACTTCACATTTTACTATTTATCAAATAATGTCACATTTATCTACAAATTTCAAACCTGTCAATTTGTTGCTTATGTAGAAAATGGAATCTGCTTGTAGACAGCAAAGTCGAGCAACTTAAAAAAAGGCGGGCACTGTTCAAGGAAGGAGACTAAGCTCAATTCCCTCTCGAGACAATCACAGAGAGCTGAGTTGGATCAAGGGGTGACTCAACAGCTGTTCGCACTTCAACGTTTCCTATGCTATACGAAGAAGGTGCCCGCGTGTCACGCACTTAGTACTTGTGACACCTCAGATTGAGGGAGGTGTTTATGCCTCAAAAGAAGGGATTCGTGGCAATTAATGCTTTGAAACTGTTGGGTGCAAATACTATTTTTGCATGTTAATCAGCCGCCTGCATGAAGTCTCGCATTTTGTGTGTGTTCTATGCGTATTCGTTTTTGCATTCTGTTTCATGTGTTTTTGTTATGGGTTCACGACAAGTCATGACGGATCATGACGAGTCATGAATTCTCAAGACAATCCATGTAAGTATATGAATTTTCAGAACCATGAGCGTTCATGTAAGTTACAAGCGTCATGAAAGCTCATGAATGTTCATGCTAAGTTGCCAAATACGCTCAACACCTTCAGCGGTATGTTGCAAAAGACGCAGGGCGCGTCATGCGTCCTGCGTCTGGACGCAAGGACGCAGGACGCGCGTCTAGACGCAGGACGCACGGCGGATTTTTTTTTTCGAGCTGATCGAAAAAAAAAAAAAATCGCCAACGCGAAGTTGACATTCTCGATTTCGATGGGACTGCCAAAATTCGCGACATTTCAACCCCCCCTAACCCATTTCGACCATCAAAAACAGCCCACGCACAACATTTGTAACCTCCCATCACCAAGATTGTAAACCCAACCCCTCACAACCCGACTAAATCTAGAAAACCAAACCATGGTGGACCACCACCAAGCCCATTTAGGAGCTCAAACTCTTTATTTAAGCTCCATCTCAATGTATGAACACAATTCTCTTTCGTAAACCCTAGAGAGTTTAGCTACCTTTCGCTCCATAGCTACCTTTTTGCCTCACATGTGTGATACGTCGTCCTCCCCCCCCCTTCCCATGCCCTATAACGTGCTTTTTTGGCTGCCCGGACGTTTTTTTAGCCCTCCCCAGGCATGCGTCTTTTTCGGCGTCTCACGTGCCCCATAGAAACGTCCTGCGTCTAAGACGCTGCGTCTGGACGCAAGCGTCCTAGACGCAGGACGCGTCTTTTGCAACATAGCTTCAGGGTTTAGCGTATGTACGCTAGTGTTTGTACGCTATGCGCTATACGCCCGCGAATACGCTATACGCAGTCAGAAATTTTCAGACACTTGCGTGGTGTGGGTGGACTGGCCATGGCAGCGCCTTCTCCACCTGTGGGTGGCGTGGCGTGGCGTGGCATGGTGTGGTGGGGGCGGACTGACCGTGGCAGTGGGAGTGGTTGGCAGGGAGGAAGGAGCCTGGCATGGGCACCAGCACGCGCTGGCTGCTCACCGCCACACTCAGCGCCCCTGCCATCGCCGCCAGCTGCTCTGTGACCTCCGCCGCACTCCATGCCCTCATCTCAACACCGATGTCTCCGCCTTGCCCACCCCCTGCACCGCTGCTATCGCTGCTGTTGTTGCCACTTTCACCACTGCCGCTGCCACTCCCACTGCTCTCGCCACTGCTGCTGTTGCCGCTGCTGCTGGTGGTGACGGCAGCATCTGCGGGTGGGGCGTCCGGGTGGGGCCAGTGCACGAGCAGCAGGCGGCGGCCGTGACACGGCCCGGGGGGGAACTGGTGCGCCCACAGGTCCCTCTGCACCTCCCGCGTGCTCCCCAGATTCGCCGCGTCCGCCCCCCGCACCTGCCGTGCCGTGCACACAGGCAGGCGGAGAGGGGTAGCAGGGAGACGAAAAAAAGGGAGGGTCGGAGTGGAGTGGAGGCATCAAAGGGGTGGAAAAGGGGCCCAGTCTGCCCCTGTCTGCCCCAGTGCGCCCAGTGTGTACCTCACAGCACAGCAAGCGCAACACATTAAGGGAAGGCCTGCCAGCGGCTCACCCATGGGGGCTGCGGCACATTGCCACACGCCGCAGTCGCCCGCGCCCACTCCGGAGCTTCGCCCTCCCCCTCCCCCTCCCCCTCCCCCTCCCCCTCCCCCTCCCTCTCCCCCTCCCCCTCCCCCTTTCCCCATTCCTCGCCTGTCCCTCCTCCCCCTATGCGCTCAGTGGCGAGGCGGAAGGCAGTGCGCACGGCGCAGTCCTCCAGGTGGGGCGGGGGGGGGAGCGATGCGCGCATGGTGATGATGGACGGGGGGAAGGGCGAGTCGAGCGCGAAGAGCTGCGCCCATGCCTCGTACAGCTCCGCGGACGTGGGGCTGCGCCCATGGGGAGCGGGAAACGGGGGGCGAGGGAGTGGCAGGAGCGGGAAGAGTCGGAAGATGAAGGGCCAGGATGGGACAAGGGAAGGGGGAAAGGAGAGGTGTGGGGGAGTGGGAGGGTTTGGAAGGAGGATGGGCGCAGTAGCGCGCGAGTGGGGCAATGCGGACTTGTCTTGCCACTGACGTAAATCCGGAAATGTGGGACGGTCGATGACGAATGAGGCGGGCCGGTAACATGTTTCTTCCTAATCTATGCATAGAATTCTCCTGAAACGCCTAGAATAAGGGGTACCGACGAGAACCCATTGCTCAACAACGGCGTACACCGTGCAATGCGCAGTCCACTGCGAGGGACGCTTCCTGTCAACTGTGCTAAGACTTAACTTCACGCGCTTCGACGCAACTAGACCCTTCGTGGAACCGCACGACATACGAATCAGCGCGACCACATTATATCGAATCGCCATTGGGATGGAGATATTAATGCCAGTGCCGCGACGAGCTCTGCCACGCAGCGCGACTCGCTTCCCCGCACGCACCCGGGAGACACTAGCATGTCGGAGGGGACGGTGAGCCATGGCGCGGCCCACACGGCGAGCGAGAGCACCACCGCCAGCACGAACAGCGGCAGCGCGGGGACCGGCCGCTTCCCCAGGGCCGCGCGGGATAGCGCGCGGTAGAAGGGGACGGAGAGATTCTGCAGTTGCTCCACCAGCGTCATGGTGTGTTGTCGTGGGTTGGGGGGAGAAGGGAGGTAGAAATACTTGTAAAACAGAGTAGCTGTGACTACTGGAGGGCTGGAAACTTGGCTGGAAAGTCTTAGCGGGGCTGCTGGAATTGACTGGATGAGTTAAAACTTCACTATGTTCAAGATTAACAAGCCCACTAAAGCACAACTCTATAGGTATCACAAACAAGACAGATTGAAAGCTCAAACTAGGCTGATAGACAATGTAACTTCCCTGGTAACTTGGGCACAATCTAGATTGGATGGACCTTGAGTGACTTTGAGTGCCACATGAGGTGCATGAATAAGAAAACTCTGGATATTTCTGTTATAGCTGATTCTGATGTGTAGAAACCTGTAGAAACTGCCAACACTTCGGTTTGAAGGCAGCTTTGAACTGTATCGAGTCTTTGGCTGAAATCTGATTGGTGGTGGAACTTTCGAAGTACTTCCCGAAGCCTCTGATTCATCGCCGACATTCCCCCTTGCTGCTGCTTGTGTGCAAAGGGCTGGGGCGGCAGAAACTCGATTCTCCAACACTCCCCCTCGCACCAGACCCGAAGCACACATACACCCATGCTGATGCTCCTTTCACATCTCCTTAGCATACACTTCATGCTGCTGCCTACGTCTCTTCCCCTCACACTCCTCATTCTCCTCAAACTGCTCCACTGCTTCATGCAGTGCCATGAGGCCTGCTCTTGCCTTGCACATGTTGAATGCATCATGTGGAAGAACCTTGGTCATGAAATCTGCTGCTTGATCGAATGAACGGCAAAAGTTGACGGCGAGAACTCCCTTCTCTAGTTGCTCACGAATGAAGTGGTACTGCACCTCGATGTGTTTTGTACGCCCATGATGAACCGGGTTCTTGGAAAGAGCTATGGCTAAAGTGTTGTCCACGTAGAGCGGAGTTGGTTGAGTTTGCGGCTGCCTCAAGTCCTCCAAGAGTCCACGTAACCAGATTGCCTCCCTTGCTCCTTCGGTCATTGCCATGTACTCAGCTTCGGTTGTTGAAAGTGCCACACAAACAGCGGCACCACACATGAGGAAGATGTAGCCGCCGGTAGACTTGCGTGTGCTCAATTCTCCCGCCCAATCTGCATCGGTAAAGCCTTGGAGGGAGCTTGCATATGGGCTGGCTTGGAAGAGAAGACCATGATTAGAAGTACCTTTGAGATACCGAAGAGCTCGCTTGGCTGCATGCATATGAATAGGTGAAGGGGCACTCATGTGTTGAGCTAGCTTAGATACCGTGAATGCTAAGTCGGGCCTTGTGCATAGGGCTGCATACATGAGACACCCAACCTGACTTTGGTAGAGAGCTAGGTCTTGTGGGGATACCTAGTGAATTCTCACCATGATGCTCACTCTCCTCAAGACACAACTCCTTAATACCTATGATATCAAGGCTTGACTCTCTCTCTTCATAGGGCTGATGTGAAGACAAAGGGAAAAAGTTGGAAGGAAGTGGGGTAGGTGATGGCTTGCTATCATCAAGACCAAACCTCTCAAGGACCTTTTGGATGTACCTTTGCTGGAATAGGAAGATGGACCGTGACTTACGATCTCTCACAATGTTCATACCAAGATAATGACTCGGCTCACCAAGATCGGTCATCGTGAATGCACTTGTGAGAATACCTTTCACCTTGTTGAGAAGATCAAGAGAACCTGAGACTAGGAGGAGGTCATCGACATATACCAAGAGCCAAATGTACTCCCCCTCACTCGTGTGCATGAAGTACAGAGCGTTGTCTCTCATGGACCTTGTGAAACCATGCTTGAAAAGTACCTGCTCAAGAGCATGATACCAAACCCGTGGGGACTGTTTGAGACCATAAAGGGACTTTACCAAGCGACACACTCGACCCGTACCGTCATCATAACCTTCGGGTTGTGCCATGTATACCTCTTCTTCCAAGACACCGTAGAGAAATGCGTTCTTGACATCCATTTGATGGATATGGAGACCAAGATATGCGGCTATGGCGAGGAGGACTCGTACCGTGGTGTACTTTGCTACCGCGGCAAAGGTTTCGGTGAAGTCAAGACCTGGAATTTGGGAATAACCTTTTGCCACTGACCTTGCCTTGTACCTATCGAGGCTACCATCACCTTTTACCTTGATCTTGTACACCCATTTGACACCAATTACCTTCTTCCCTGGAGGTGGCTCAACAAGACGCCATGTACCTCGCTTCATGAGACTCTCAATCTCTTCTTCCTCGGCTTTCAACCAATGCTCTCTCTCGGGACTTGCCATTGCCTCACGACGACTCAAGGGCTCTCGCGGAAGGTGTGATGCTGCCATGCATATTGCCTCTACCTTCTTGTGAATGCAATTCTCACTCTCCTCACATGTGCACCTTGATGACATGTCAACCATGAAAGTGAAGGGCTTTTTTACCTTGCGGACTCGTTTACCTTTACCAAACTCCTCACTTGGCTGAGACACATTAGTGGTAGGGTTCGGTCTCACAGTGTTTGATTGCGTTGATGCGGTCATTTGCAGCTGAGACAACGGCTGCGACATCGGCTGCGACGGCGGCACGGCTGCTTGTTCTTCTCCTGGCGTGGAAATATCTTGATTATCGGTGTTGACTTGAGGATTAGGTATGGTGACTCGTGGCGGTGAAGCTGAAATGTTTGTCGGCATAGTTGGTTGTGAAGATGCTCTTGGTGGGGATCTTGAGACTAGAAGCTTGGGAATTGATGATGACGCTGCCTTGTCGAGAGGTGGTGATGGTTGGGGCTGGTTGGTGTTGTTGCTCGGTGTTGAAGATGGTGGTAACTGATGACGACCGAATCCGGGACGTGGGGGTGAAGTTGAGAAAGGTCTTGGGTGAAGAAGTGGACTGTTGGAGCTGGTGTTGGTGGTGACTCGCTGAAGTGATCCTCGTGCTATGAGCTGGCTTGACGTTGGAACAAGTGATGAACGTGTGGTATGAGAACGAGGTGTTGCGGTGACGGTTGACTTGTTGCTAGGAAGAGTCGTAGATGGTGTTGATGTAGGTACTTGGGGTCTTGTAGCTGTTGATTGCTGCTGCATGGGATGATGATGAGCTTCTGTAGTTGCCTCTGGAGTGATGGCTGGTGATGGGTTTGATGGCGTAGTGGTGGGCTGATCCGGTTGGCGTTGAAATTGTGAGGTTGGTGTTGATATAGCTGGCTGGTTTGTGACTGTTGGCTGCTGCTCCTTTGGTGGTGATGGAACGGTGACTTGCTGCGGTGGATTGTCTTCATTTGATGGCTGAACTTCATCTCCACTTGGTTGAGTAGCTGCTGGTGGCACTGGCGTGGCACGGCTGGACTCGTTGACGACGGCTTGAGGGAGATCGATGATCGGTCCGCTATGGTTAGAATCGGTGTTATCTTCTTCCTCCTCTTGTGTTGTTTCCTCAGGTGCGCTTGCTGGTTCCTGTTGGATAGAGGGTAGAGAGGAGGAAGAGGAAAACTTATGCCAACCTGCAAGGGACATGTCTTCATAGAAGACAACATCCCTTGAAACCACTTCTCGCTTGGTGACAGGATCCCAAAGGACCCATCCCTTGCTCTCATTGCTCATGCCGATGAAGAGGCCCCAATGAGCTTTGCTGTCCAGCTTGAGTCTCTTTGCATCTGGAACACGGTATTGGGCCATGGAACCAAAAACACGAAGCATAGACAGATCTGGTTTAACTCCAAACCAAGCCTCATATGGCGTTACACAATCCGGTAAGGGCCTTGTGGGTCTCCTGTTGCGAACATAAATTGCCATATTGATTGCCTCACCCCACCAGAGCTTGTCAAGGCCTTTGAACTGAAGGAAAGTGGTAGCTATAGCCTGGATAGTGCGATGAAACCTCTCTGCCACTCCATTTTGCTGAGGACTATAGGGACAAGTGAACTGTTGTTTGATGCCCAATGCCAACAACTCCCCCTGAAACGCTTTCCCCATGTACTCACCTCCTCGATCCGACCTCAAGGTGAGTAACTTCTTCCCTGACTCTCTCTCAACAAGTGCTAGCCATTGCTTGAAACACTTGTGAACTTCATCCTTGGTGTTGATGAAAAAGGACCACGAGAAACGACTCTTGTCATCAATGAAAGACACCAAATATCTCTTACCGTTTCGAGTAGGGTCTCGCATGGGGCCGAAGACATCAGTGTGGACCAACTCTAGGAGGTCCCTTGACTGAGACTTAGAAGGGAAGAATGGCTTTCTAGCTAGCTTACCTTCCACACAAGATGGACATGGAACGGAAGAAAGTGACTTGACTGCACTTTCACTCAAACCCAATCCTTCCACGCTCTTGTGATTTACCAACTCTTTCAATGCTTGCACTCCCACGTGCCCCAAGCGTGCATGCCATACCTCAGCTTGGGAGATACTCCCTTTGTTGTTGACTTGATCAGTTGAAACAGCGGGAAGCGAGACAACGTCGTTCATCGTGTTGCTAGCACCGCGCTTAATCTCCAACTTCATCTTGTAGAGCCGCCCGGTACGCTCGCCTTCAGCCACCAGATTTCCTGCACTGTCCCACACTTTGGCTTTCCCCCCTTGCAAGAGAACGGAGGCACCTTTCTCTTCGAGTTGTCCGGCTGAGAGCAAGTTTGCTCCCAAATCAGGAACAAACAAAGCTTTATTGACACAAAATGACTTACCATCCTTTTCGAACAAAAGCTTGCCGACTCCTTTGATTGGTACTTTGCCAAGATCAGCAAGAGTCACAGCTTTTGAGTCATATGAGGGCTGAAAATCCTTGAGAATGGACTGATAGGGAGTCATGGTTTCAGAGCAGCCACTATCAAGAGTAAACTCCTCACTACTAGTAGAGAAAACGTGCATGCAAGTAGCAGCGTTAAAAAGGACAGGACCATCGGACTCTTTGGACTCATCTTGACTTGTAGAATGACTTGCTATATTTGCTATGGCTGCCTTACCCTTTTCAGATAGTAGCTGAGGTGGGGGGACCCAATTAGGAGGCTTCTTAGGACAAGCATACCACGGG